AGTAAGGCAGTTTCTCAGTTGTCAGTCACTGTGAGCCAAACAGTTTTCAATCATCTTTAATACAAAACTAGATTCACACAGGAGCCACGCTCGGGATCCAAAAGCCCTTGGAGAAATGATGGGGGTAAGGCAGAAAGCAGCAGCACCAGTGGAATCCCTTACAGTCAGCATTGGATGCATGGACACTACTGCAGTGGAGGGAGAAGAAATGGGGATTGTCTGCAGTTTAAAAATACCAAATGACCCTTCTGTCATAATCTGGGACGTTCCTGATGTGCCTCAGCAGACTAGAGGTTTAATGTGGGGGGATTTTTTCTTTTATTTTTTTTTTTAATCAAGTGAAATTTTCCACTGTCAAAAGACAAATTGATTTTCTTTCCTGAAGGATTGTCTTGGAGTAGTTCACTGCTTTAAAAAGTTGTGCACTAAACCATTTTCACTCCCCAGGCAGTGCCTCTGAGAGACCTTCCTTAAAATGCTGTTTATCACTGCAAGTACTCGCTGCTATTCGGGTGAGGGAAGGAGCTGTTGAGCAGAATTCCCCAACCTGTGGTTTATCCTTGGGTGTTGGTTGAAGGGAGATGGGAATAGCAAACCCTAATGCTGTTTGCCACCTCTGTCCATGGTGCCAGTACAGGGCTTTCCTTTCGTGCTTGATCACTGTGTGGGATTGGCTCCCCACAAGCATTTATGGATACCCCAAAGGCAAGATCCCCAACACCACACTGATCACTGTATCCTTTTTTTACTTGCAGGGAAGTGGCAGGAGTTACCTGCAGCTGTGGAGCTTATGGAGCTTAAGAAACTAAAAAAAGATGGGAAAGAGAAAAGAAAAAAAAAAAAAAAGAAGATCCTGGGTAGGAATGGAGATGGATAAAAAAAAGGGAAAAAAAAAACTCAGGTAGGTGGAAATATTATGTTGGTTTTTTTTCTAATTATTACAGTTTAGTGCTCAAAGATCCTCTCTGCTCACCCAGTTCTGGGGTGGATTCCTTTAGATCAGCTGCTGCT